TTTGCCTCACTGAAACTGTAGTTCTTCAGAATCAGCCCTTGTTTCTTAGCAATGGTATGGATACTTGTGATTAAGGCAGCATTATGATAGCAACCAGCATTGTCGCTTCTCAAAAATACTTCTTTGAGGTTTGGCAAGGTTTTTGGAAGCTCAAGAAACAGATTCTCTAATACCGACAGCACCGAAAACCAATCTTGATTACACTTTTCTAAAATATGAACGAAGGTGCGCACCTGTGAACAGTAGCAAACATGCATAAATCATAAAATCCAATTTGTTGTATTTGTATAAAACGCAATTCATTACATTCTTACTAAAAGACAAATAAAGTACCTCGAAGTCGTTTTCTCTGTTACTAGCTGCTTTTGTTATACAGGCCGAAATGTGCCAACTAATTCCCTTTTTCCCAAACCCCTCGTTCTGGGTTTCACGGTTCCTTTCGAGGGAGCCATTTCATCGCCCAATCCATTATGATCAAAGTCTGTTCGTAAGTAAGGTTGTCAAGAACTTCTCTTTTGGCCCTTTCTTGGTTGATAGCCCTGACAATGTGTGATTTCCAATCTAGGATTTTCTCTGCTGCTTTTTCGGCATCATGTTTTAGCTCTTCTTGTTGCTCTGAATAACTAGGAATAATAAGGTTAAAATAGTTATTTGAAGCACCTGTAGATAAGTCCGGCTATTCTGTATGAATATCGTTACAATAGTTCCTTTGCAGCTAGAGGTCAAGTGACCTCACCTACCTTAAATCAATCAGCAGTGCCAAACTGATGCCCAGAAATGGAAAGGACAGGTCGAGTTTAGTTAGACGACAATTGCTGATTTGTTTTAAGGTAGGTGAGGTCACGTGACCTCAACTGCAAAGGGTCTATCACTTAAAGGGAAGAGGGAAGAAATTATACCTTAAAGATCGAGTGCTGATTAAAAATGAAATAAAATATATATGGTACTCTGTTTATCGTCGAAACATATTGTGATGAAGCAAATTGAACAACAACCTAAATGTAGCACTGAAAACGATGCAAAACTTTGTTCGCAGAGACAGGCGCTCGTTATATAAAGTTTTGACTATACCTGTATGAAATAGCCTTTGAGTCGAGCTCGGAAAATATATCTTCACAGACGTCTCTGCAGTCCTGACATCATGTTTACAATCTGACTTATACTGATTTTCATTTGAAGACAGTGCGAACCGTATACAATGATCAGCACAGGGATTTTCCTCGATTACATGGAGTTTTTAATCAGCTTTCAGATATCTCTTAGCTGTTTGAATCCTTTGTATGAAGTTGTKGGCATGATCAACAGATAAACCTGTACACATAAGAAAAGGGGTAAGAAGATCTTATATAAGCCACTTAAGAGTCAGAAAAGAGGGTCGTAAGATAATTCATCACATTTGTTGTAAAATAGATGTTTACCGAGGGATGCCATGGTATGTATGATCATTTCCATGGTGTCAAAAAGTCGCTGTGTTGTCTAGTCCTGCAAGACTTTTCTTCTGAGACGATGCACATACCTATGGGAAAATGCATTGAGATCAGATATCAAATTATTATA